TCACTCACCTTCTTATTGACAAATTGTGCAAAAGTCTTGGTGCCTAGGTGATGGGGCTTTTCAAGTTTCTACTTGTTTTTTTTATTCTATTTGCTAATTTTCTTTTAAAAAACGTAGAAGTTATTTGTAATAACATAATATTAGGTAATATTTCAATAGCAAAACATAATTGTCATACCTCTCCTTTCTCACTATACCAGTATTCAACAAGCACCTAAAATTGCTCTTTATCAACTTGACAATCATCAATGTTTTTCATACATTTCAATGCAATTTTGTTACATTGACCCTGACCCTTAGGGTGCTTGGTCGCCAACCTCATCATTGCGTGCTTATCCCCCCCAAAGTTTATCGCAAGAGCACTGGGAATCTTGTTGAGTTCTAGTAGTTAAAGCCAATAATTAGAGGCATCAATGACGCAACACCCTCAACCTATTCTCAAACTTTAAATAGGTAGGATAGTGCAGTAGCAAAAAAAAAAAAAATCAAGTTTTGGATTAAATTGGTAGAGAGAATTAATTTAATTTAATTAATTCAAGTTTGTATTTATTTGAGGTTTAGTACAAAAAAAAAAAAATTCCAAGGTGACATTTTAAGTTCTTGGAGGACTATATGGATAAAACCTTAGCCCATTAAGCTAGCGCTTGGGCAACAAAAAGGGCAAGAAGAGCCCTAGGTAAATTCTAATCCAATAAGGACTGGATTATTTAGCAAGGAAAGGAAAAAAAAAAAAAAAGGAAGGAAAGTCTTCTCCTTCCAAGTTCTCTAGTTTGACTTAAAGACTAAGTTTGGTAAATTTAATTGAATTAGAATATCAAGTCTTCTATTTCTTATTAATATAAATTGGTGTAGGAAACTAAAAACCCTACTTTCTCTCTAGAAATTTAGGCTGTTTAATTTATCTTTGCCTAAAAGAAGAAGATCAAACTAGACATTCAATTGCTAGCACAATTGAATTCTTATCTTTTTTTGAATTCCCTAATGTACGTGTGAATCATCTAGAGGGATTCTACTCTTGGATCCTTGACGTTTCAATGAAGGTCATGTTTAGAGCAATGCACAAACAAGGCACATGTCATAGAAGTAATAACTATGAACCTTTCTTAACAATTAATGGATTCATTAGGATTTTAAGTGGGTTGAAGAAAGTAGAAAATTTTAGTTTTTGCTTCTATTACACACTTTAAAACCCAAAAAATTGATGTAAAGATTAATACATGTGACACTTTTTTAGGTGGCAAGACTTCTTCTCATGAAGTCATGTGCCACATGTGGGTGGCACAAAAAAGATGAGTGCACAGAACTTACTCACCATGAAAACACTATTACACTTGCCATTGGTAGTTAATAAGCTATGATGTGAGTGTAAGTAACTTTTTGACTTGAGATTGTTATTATTCTATGTGAGAACTCATATATTTTGATGGTATTAAAAATAGCTACTATGATAAGTTGCAAGTAATACAATTATTGAGTGCATAAATACAAGTTTTAAGGAAGATGAAATAAAGCATGTATCTTGCTTGATGGAAATATCAAAGATCAAGTAATTGAATCACACAAAAGTATTGGTCACATGAAGGCTAATTGAAGCTATTAACATTTCTATCACTTTGGTAGCTATGATTTTTTGCTTGATATTGCTCTTGGTCTATGGGTATTATTCACTGCCATTGTAATAGAAACCTAGAGGATTGCACACTATATGAGCTTTGTGGGATTAGGATATCTATCCAAATATTTAGAAATAGATAAATTTATGTGAAATTATTATTTTTACAAGAAAAATAAGTTAATCAAGTTTTAGGATTAAATTTATTTAATTCGAGTTGATTCAAGTGTTAAAACTAGAAAAATTCAAGGTTGAGTAATGTAGCCCATTTGGGCTACAAGGCCAAAACCCTAGTCCATATCGATATGGACTAGAGTGTATGCAACACCATGCATTAAGAGAGTGCAAGGTGCACTGCTAGTCCTAAGAAAAAAGAAAGAGAATTTAAAAAAATAGGTTCTTGATCAAATAAAAATGAATGAATAAAATGTGACATGAATCATTCTTTTAATAAAACATGACATGAATCCTTCCTTTCTTGCATTGTAAATGGTTAGAATTTATATTAGAAATTTTCATTCTTGATAAATTATTTCATTTTTTCTTCTTTTCTTAAATAAAATAAAAAATTAATAAAATTAATAAAATCTCAATTTTAAAGTATGCAAACTAATTTTTATATGGAAGTTATGGGGTGCGCATATGCCCTTCTCTATAGTTAATTGAACCTCCTTACCTTGAATCTCTTCTGAATCATGGTGGCTTATCCTACCATTACTTAGGTAGGTGGCGACTCCTCTTGTTTACTTTTCCATATTTTTCTCTCCCTTTTTTGTTAACTTTTCCATTTTCATTTCTTTATTTGATTTTTTTTCCATTTCATTTTCATTTTCAAATTCTAAGTGGATGTCAACAATATACCTCTTAAATGAACTTTATCATTGGCCATGGTTTTGTAAGTAGTTTATCTCAATCAAATGGCCTTTTCTCTCTTTAAACTTGTGAGGAGTAAATTGTATCTTAACTCATTCATTGCTTTCATATGATTCATTTTACATCAACTAACTAACATATCTCAGTCTTTAATTGTACGATTTTTTATGTTTATTATCCTTAATTTTCAATTTCTTTAAGTTTAAGTAGTTAAGTAGAAAACTAGAATCTAGTCTATAGTTTGCATAGTAATTTTAGGCAACTTTATTAGATTTGACAAGTTTGTTTTTGGTAGGTTGCTACCAAAAGACAATGAAAAAAAAAAAATGAAATAGAAGACCTAAATTAGTGGAACTCATTAAAAGTCCACTAACTTTGTCTAGAAGTATATATATGGTTCAAAATAAGAATAAAGTCATTTCACATTCTAAATTTTCTAATACCTGA